AAAAAGAAGTCGAGTCAGGCTTTATGATCGGCCCTTTTGACGAGCCTCCTTTCGAAAATTTTCGCATTAGCCCCATTGGAGTGGCTACGAGAAAGTTTTCTGGTAAGAAACGCCTCATAGTCGATCTGTCAGCTCCACATAAGTCCATGTTCCCTAGCATTAACAGCCTGATCCCACTCAACGAATTTTCTCTCAAATACCACGACGTAGATCACGCAATCGACCTGATTAAAATCGTGGTCGGGGTGCCTGGCTCGCTAAAAATTGACATCACTTCAGCTTTTAAAGTGATGCCCATCCACCCGGATTCATGGCACTTATTCGGCGTGCGCTGGCATGAGAAATTTTATTTCGCCGTACGCTTAACTTTTGGATGCAAAAGCAGCCCCAAAATTTTCGACATGCTATCTGAAGCCGTTTGCTGGATCTTGTCAAACAATTACGCAATTCCTCACCTCATTCACCTGCTGGACAATTTTCTAATAATTTCGCCCCCTGGCGCCATTCCAGCAGCCCAGATCCTCACAGTTCAAAAAGTCTTTTCCGAGCTCGGAATCCCCATCGCCCAGGAAAAAACCATGGGTCCCGCTACATCCATCGAGTTCCTTGGCATTAATCTAGATTCAGTTCGATTCCAGGCCTCCCTGCCCAAGGAGAAAATTGATAGGATAATCCTCATCTCATCTACCCTCGCGGACAGTCCAGAGTGTTCCAAACGCGAACTCCTATCCATGCTCGGCCACTTAAACTTCGCCATGCGCATTATTCCACAAGGCCGCCCTTTTATTTCTCATCTCCTCTTTCTCGCGTCTTCAGTCCACGCACTAGAGGATCTAATTTCCATAACTCCGGCATGCCGCGACGAACTCGGGCTATGGATAACTTTCCTTAAACAGTGGAACGGCCTATCCTTTTTCTATAAGGATCTAATTTCCTCCCCCCTCGACATCCAGCTGTTCACAGATGCAGCCCCCTCTGTTGGCTTTGGAGGGTTCTACCAAGGTCGCTGGTTCGCGTCTACGTGCCCCCCCCCCCAAATACAGGACACGCTTCAGTCCTCTGCATTATTCGAGCTCTACCCTCTCGTAGTAGCAGCCTTCCTGTGGGGGAAAGAATGGACTGCTAGCAGCATTGTAGTGCATTGTGACAACGAGGCTACAGTCCAGTGCATTAATAAAGGCCGTTCCCATGCACCCGCTCTAATGCCACTTTTAAGACGTCTAACCTGGATTTCCGCATGTGACCAATTTATCTTAATCGCAAAACACATCCTCGGGTCAAAAAAAAAACCAAATTGCTGACTCTCTGTCTCGCTTTATGTTTCAGAAATAAGGATGCTGGCTCCAGAGGCGGACGAGCTCCCAACTCCAGTACCTCATTATTCGGAATTAATATTCCCATAACTCACCCGCAAAAATCCCTCCTCAACAGATCGCTCGACACCATTCTCCAAGCTGTTTCCCCCAGAACTCTCCAATCCTATGTGACCGCATGGAGATGTTTTAAAGCCTTCCACCTTTCTTATAACACGCCATTCCCTGATTTTTCCCTCCTTACAATAACCTCCTTTATCTCTTACCTTGACAGCGTCAAAAACCTCCAAGTCGGGTCCATCAAAAGTTATTTAAGTGGCATCCAATTTTTTCACAAATTGATCCACGGCGCCCCCTCTCCGGAAATAAATAATTCACAAACCTCCCTCTTGATTAAAGGCATCCAACGATCCCAGCCCACCCGCCCGGATACCAGACAACCCATAACTTTAGATATTCTCACTAAATGCATTCAGACCCTCCGCACAGGCTACCGATCCCTCAATACCTCCTGCACACTCGACGCCATGTTCATTCTAGCCTTTTTGGTTTCCTAAGATGCTCTGAACTGGCTATCACTTCCAGATTTGACCCAAAAATCCACCCAAACATCTCAGATCTCTCAGTGCTTGACAACGAAACAATCTCGTTTCTGATTAAACAGAGCAAAACAGACCAAACCAAAAAAGGCCACTTCATATATATTTTCAACCTCTCGTCACCAATTCAACCGTTCCAAACTATATTAGCCTACCTCCAACTGAGAAGCTCTCATGCAAAATCCCCTCTCGAACCCTTGTTCATCGACGATTCTAACAAACCCATGACACGCTTTTGGTTCCAAAAACACCTAAAATCTGTTCTCCAACTTTCAGGCATCCCAGCAGAGAATTTCTCCAGTCATTCCTTCCGCATTGGAGCAGCAACCTCAGCAGCCCAAAAAGGCCTCTCTCAGCAACAGATCCAAGCGCTCGGAAGATGGTCCTCAGACGCGTTCCAAACTTATATCAGAACTAATCGTTTCCATGTCAAAAAAGCCCACCAAATCCTCATTGGTTAAAAAAAAAAAAAAAAAACTTTTTCGAGTATCCATTCCATGCCTTCTCGTTCTTCATCCGGCAAATATTGATCTCCCAGCGGACATAGCGAGAGCCTTCCTGCTCGAGCTTCTATGTCTTCTCTGTCTCCGTCCAGCAAGTATTGATCTCCCAGCGGACCCAGAGACAGCCTTCCCAGTCGAGTAATTATATCTCCTCTTTCTCCGTCCAGCGAGTATTGATCTAGCGGACACAGCAAGAGCTTTCCTGGTCGATTATTTATGTCTATTATTTCTCCGTCCAGCGAGTATTGATCTCCCAGCGGACCCAGTGATAGCCTTCCCGTTCGAGTATTTATACCTCCTCTTTCTCCGTCCAGCGAGTATTGATCTCCCAGCGGACACAGCGAGAGCTTTCCCGGTCAATTATTTATATCTATTCTTTCTCCGTCCAGCGAGTATTGATCTCCCAGCGGACCCAGAGACAGCCTTCCCGATCGAGTACGTGTATCTCCTCTTTCTCCATCCAGCGAGTATTGATCTCCCAGCGGACCCAGAGATAGCCTTCCTGGTCAGGTATGCATATCTCCCCTTTCTCCGTCCAGCGAGTATTGATCTCCCAGCGGACTCAGCGAGAGCTCCCTTGGTCGAGCATCTTCATCTCCTCCTCCATCCAGCGAGTATTGATCTCCCAGCGGACTCAGCGAGAGCTCCCTTGGTCGAGCATCTTCATCTCCTCCTCCATCCAGCGAGTATTGATCTCCCAGAGGACTCAGCAAGAGCTCCCTTGGTCGAGCATCTTCATCTCCTCCTCCATCGAGCGAGTATTGACCTCCCAGTGGACATAGCCTAACCCTCCCAGTAAAGCATCTATGTTTTTCTTTCAGGACTGGTGAGGCTTACCGATGCCGGGACCTTTGCCACAAGAACCCTCCCGTTCGGACACCGCGAGCTCTCCCAGCCAAAACTACCAGGCTCTCCTTGAAATGCCAGCCCGCCAATCTCTGCGCTCTTTTCGGGGGGTCTTTAAGCAGGCGGCTGTCCTTTACTCACTTTGCTTTTTGGGGAGTACTCTGGGTTCGGGCCCAATTTCCGAGCTCGGAGCCCTCCCCCCGGACAGCACGCCAAATACGCATAACCATTTTTATTCTCTGATCATTAGTGAGTGTGAACTCGTGAATCGATGTTTTATTAACAAGTTTCGGGAGGATCACGTTCTAATGATCAAACAATCAAGTCAGCCAGCTGTCAGCAATCAGTAATCAACTGGTTCACTCAATCAGCACAAGTAAAGCCTATAAAAACACACAGTTGACTCACCCTTATTCCTCGACTGTTCTCAGCATCCCTCCACCACCCCATCTCCTCACACTTGCCTAATTATCTTACTAAACAGAGATACGGGGGGAGTACTCTGGGTTCCGGCCCAATTTCCGAGCTCGGAGCCCTCCCCCCGGACAGCACGCCAAATACGCATAACCATTTTTATTCTCTGATCATTAGTGAGTGTGAACTCGTGAAATGACTTTTCTCTCATACTCCAAGTCTGAAATCTCCTCTTCAGTAGCACCTATATACATACTAGGGGTTTCACAACTACTGATTTTTGCTAGTCGACTAGTTTTGCATAACAGTCGACGACTAGTCGACTAGTCGTTACATGGTTTATTCTAGCGGTGTGCGACATCACGAATAGTAAATGTCTCCACGATCTGCTTTTGAAGAAATATGGTCGTAGTAGTATCGTGTTACAGTGCATTCTATCAGTTCTGGCGCCTCTCAACTGTACAACGTGACGTAGCCTACACATCACACGTTAAGGAATAGGTACGGGACACTGCAATTCACAAAAGTTCATTGTTTGCATAAGCCTTGCCGGTTAAACATTTAATTCACGCGCTGTTCTAACGTGCGCTTTCCTGAGCGCGCGGCATATCCCCGACGCTCACAGGCATTAGAAGCCTGTCAAACAGTGCTGGACTAAGTTATCTTTCAAGTCTTATTATGCTAATACTGTTAAATACACACAATATTTACATAAACAGAATTGGCTATGTCTAAAGTGCAGCCTCCCCATATAGAAAGTGAAAGCAAACATTTGAGAGAAAATCTAGTGTAGGCTAATAT